TATATATTAGGTATATGGGGTGTAAGAGACGAACTGTTCCATTTTAAATACTCTTACTCTTACCATTATCTATAAATGGTATATGAAGTAAAGTCAGTTGGATGTTCGAAAATCGTGATTTTCGTTCTATGGGGGCTAGGGAAAGTTTTCACCCGATTTTAACATTTTTAGGCACAAATATAAAGTAAACCCGAAGTACGAAAGGGCGCAAATCGGTCATTTACTGAATCACAAAACTGGATATTAGTTGGGTTGGTTCAGCAGATTAAAGTTCCGCAATCCTGCTTTCGATGCTACCTCTTACTATAAAAAAACAAAAACATATACCTGAAAAAAAAACGAGCACTGTATAAAATATTTTATGTGCCTTTGTATGTTTGTGTGTAGGTATGTGTGTGTGTACAACGATGTTCAACACAATCCGCACGCGCTTCACACCTATTTGTTGACAAGTAATCGTGTGTACACACGCTTAACGGGCTATGTAATGGGATTAAAATTGCTTATGTACACAAGCTCATTTGTAATATATAATATATACTTGTATGTGTGTATGTGGGACTACAAGTACTTATGAATTTGTTACGCAACACAATATCACCAGTACGTGGCGCTGAATTAAATCATCACGCTATTCCACCGTAAGCAAAAGGAAAACAATATCTAACTGTAGCAAAGTAAGCACGTTCACATCAATATGTGGGGCTTGCAGAGTAAAGCACTCCTACAAGTTGCAACTTTTTTATGTTTTTCAAAGTTAACATTCAAATAGATTGCACACACTTACGCACCAATTTTAACACATTTCCTTTTATATATGTACATATGTACATTTCATATAGTACTGTCTCACATATGCACATGCAGCTACTCGATGGATTTCGCAGACTCACTTGCCGTGAACTCCAATGAACCACACGGTGCTGAATGTTTGCCTTCGTTGTCTAGCGGTATTGTTGTGAATGCCTTTGTTCAACTACTTTTACATAAGCTACTGCCTGTATTGCTGTTGAACCATGAAAAACAATTGTGAATGCGCTAGCTGAAGAATGAGCACACATACAATAATAAACACTTATTCACACACACACACGCACACGCTCTCAGTTTGCCACGCAGATGATTTAAATTCTTGTAATGAAATGCACGCAGTGTCACTTAAATTTAAAACCAACATTTCATGAGCAGATTTCTTTATAACTTGAAGCGAACTGAAATTTATGAAATACATACATTTAAAGCATACCCCAAGGGGCAGCACATCCCAAGGCCATTCAAATAATAGGTTGCTATAAGTATATGAATCTTCAGATTTTACTCCGATTCGCTTTTTATGTATGTATGTATGTATGTACGCAAATACCTACAACAGTAATACTCGCTCTTTCAACGAGCTCATAACAAACAATTCAAAATCTTGGATATACCGCCCGAAGTGCTCAAAAAAAAAATATATCGCTTATAATAGCAGACGCAGTAAAAGGTGTACCCGTAACTGGATTGATCTCCATTCAAAAATAAATCCAGGTAAGTTCTAAAGGGTCAAACTATGTTGTTCAGAGAGTCACACATTTATTACATTGCTACAAAACAGTTCGACGATTTTAAGCCAAAAATTTATTTCTCTTCACTATTGCATAATTTCTAAGACTAATTCTATTTCATAGCACAATTTATTGTGCATTCGAGTAAATGAACATCTCAATTGCGGTTTAATCGGTTTTATAATGCTGCAGCCGCAGTAGAAGGCGGTCATATGGCAAACGAGACTAATGACACGTTGCAGACAATTTCTGTCACGAAATGGCAAAAATGAATAATATGAACATAAAATAAAATGAAAATTACATCAAACAGGAAAATTAAAAAAGTAAGAACGTAAAAGGTAAAAATATGTTGTTTACCAATAATGATTTGAGACTTTTTGCCATGTATTTATGCGCCATGTCCCAGGCCTTTTAAAAAAATGCATATGTACAGGGGAGATGTGATACCTACTAGGCTTAGCTGTTCGACGGCGCCGCAATCGCAAATGATTTCCATAAACTGCTGCAATCAATCAGATTCGCAGGTTTGTAGAGGACATGCCCGTGAATTGTAGGCAGAAATCAAAGAGCGTTTGGATACCACATACAGCGACTACTGTTTTTCGATGGCGACCGTCAAAATTTGACTTAACAAGTATCAACGTGGTCGTGCGTTAGTTTTTGAAGAGGCACTCAGGTGTCTCGTAAATGGCACGGACGTTAACGTGATAAAAGTCAAAGACGACATCACAATAGTCTGAGCGCAATCCAAATAATCTTATGTGCAGTTTCGTGACCATCTGCGAAACGTGGGTCTAATGGTATACACTAAGGAACAGTCGAAACAGTGGACTTCATTGGCGAACCTGCTCAGAAAAAGGTGAAAAGGAGGCTCTGTGGCCACCGCTTTGTGAGAATGAGAAGGTTACCGCAGCCATGGAAGACTATTTTTATTTAAATAAAAAAAACTTTTACGAAGCACTGCAAAGGAATCGTGTAAAAAATTTCAGCTTGATACGTCATAAAAGTTAGCAGCGGGTGGCGGGCAGCCTCTTCTAATATTTTTGTTTTTAGAAAATTTGAGATTAAGAATTTGTTTTCTTAATATTCAGTTATGGTGTTAGTGAGCGAATTTATTTAATTATGCATATAAAATTTTTGACCGAAAAACATTCGTTATAAAAAAAGTTGTAATTATAACAAAAATATAGTTCAGAGTTTACTAAATAATGTTACCGTGCAGCTACAAATAAATATGTGCAGTAGTCTCCAAGTATCATACCTGTTCGATTGGAAAAGTAGACCTACGAGAAAAATTGGTATATAGTTTTACGTTCTGAAGCTGACTTACCCAAATACTTCGATAAAACCGCGGATTAGAGAGACAAAACAACTACTACAACTTCCACTACTCAACCAATTAAATAATAATATTAGAGCCCAAAAAGAAGTGCGACTGTAAAAACTCTAGAACAAACAGAATGTTTATATTTAATTAAAATTTTTAGAGTCCACAATAAGAAAATTATATGCAAGATTTCGTAAAATATAATATATGTACCACTAATACAATATAAAGTTTTATAGACATTTTCTATAAAATAAAAAATTAGTTGCATAGATTTGGTTTCTGTGGATTTATAACATATTTATTTTTCATTTTCAAAAGTTATTACCCAATTATAATACCTAATGTTTTGTTAGAATCTCCCCAACTTTTGTACCAACTTCTTATTTTTCAATGTATGGTCTACCATATGCCATGTATAAGTCCCTTTTGCTGTCAAAAACACACCTCAATTGTCAAAGTGTTATCAGCTTCTCAATAATCTCATGAAATGAAAAAAGTATGTAGTGCGAAACCGGAAACGGCAATGGATGGAAACAAGAATATATGGAATCATTATAGACTTACTCGGGTGGTCTTAGAGAAAAAATTCACATAAATATTTCTTATTTGCTCCTCAAAACTCAGCGAGTAGCGAATCGAACAACCAACTGGCGTACTCAAAAAGTAATAACATTGCAAGTACTTATGCCATAACGAGATATCCAAGCAATCTCTAATAATAGTATGATTGTTAATTTCTTTGTTGCCTTCACATACGAGGCTTTTCAAAAAGAGTGCAGAGACGAATCGAACTGCTACAAAGCACATAGGCGCCGGTGAAATATTATTGCCATAGAATAGCAAGTTTCGTGTAATTTTCTTAATAATGACACTTAATGCGTCCATTATAAAAATATCTGATGTCTTAAGTATTTTTTAGACATTCCAGTATTTGCCAGTCGTCCAGATTAATCCTGATCCTGAGACTTATCCTTAGATTGCACTTATATTATAAGGATCCACTGAGTCTGTCCGCTGAAAATGTACAAAATGATTAGATAGTGGTGGTCCATATTGCAACCTAATTTCGCAAATTGTCGGTCTCGTGGTAAAGAAAATCTATCTGATTTTTGCTATCGTCGGCACATTTGACACACAGTGCTTATCGATTTGCCAATTGTTGCACATGGCAGTTCGAAAATGGAAAAAATGACTACACACACATACATACATGTATACCTGTGTAAGAGCGCGCGGTAAGGCAAACTCACGGAATTCAAAGTAAGTCTGCACACAAGATGCCAGTGGAGTGCTTTTTGCAGACTTCCTTGGTACGAGACATGCAACGCGCAGTTCCAGCACACTCACCGTGGCAACAATTGAATTTACGCAACTAGTACAATCAAGTTGACCACATACATATATATATATATATATATAGATATGTGCCATTAGTAAATTGTGTGTAAACAAATACAGTCAAGCGTTTGCGAAAGCAACAAGCACAAATCGTTTAGGCGACAAAAAACACCATCAACAATGTAGTGAGTTGTATTTGCAAACGCTTTGTAACAACACCAACAATAATACAAGGCGCCTGACATTAGCCACTAACAGGAGAAAAAAGAAGCACTGCATATTAGAAATGAAAGGGTAACAATTAGCGCTTGCATAAGATATATGAATGTATATGTATGTGTATATGTCTGCCAGCACGACAGGATAAGCCGACGCTGAGCAAGTTGCACTTACGTAGAGATACAGATAAACAGGCACACATAGAAAGAAACGCAGAAGCCTGCTTGCTTCCAACAACAAGCGTGTGCTGCAATAACAACAACAGCTACAATGAATATCTTTCAACAGAGCACGTGCGTACACAATCAAAACATAACCCATACCAACACGTTGTTGCGTCTCGATATTGGTGGCAGCGTTTTCGAAATGAACGTCAAGCCTCCAGTAGCACAAAACACATACACGTATGTACAACGACTCGGCTACCGGATCCCTATATTGAGCGCTTGCGCATTGCATTCTCGAACTCACAAATCACGTTTACGATATTAGCTGACACACATACACGCGCAGCGGACAAAGGTAAACAGCAGCAGCAGGCAATAACACACACACAGAGTGAAACTGCGAAAGAAAGCGCTTTGGTCTGCACAGACAGCAGTCAAGAGCCGACACTTGTGTGCACTTTTCGCACAATCCATTCCTTCGTGGCAGCGCGACAGTTGGTTGGGTGTCTACGCGTTCACAGCAAAAGTGTTCTTTAAGAGCTAGCAGCTAGAACAGTTCACATGCGTCCGTTGAGCTGAACGCACGTGCCCGCTTCTGCAGCGCTTCTGGTGTGATTTAGTTTTGGTAAAAAACACGAACAAAAAATTGAATCGAATCTTAAAATACCAAAGCAAACGCGCGTTCGTGTAACGGCATTGGAGTTAATGGACCCCTAATAAACGAGTGATTTGAAGTAATATTTCAACGAATTTACGCTTATGGATTTTTAACTTAATAGCAATTAAAAAAAAAAAATTATATAATACGCAAGCAAAATCATGCGTTGTTTCTTTAAAACCAATTAAAAAAACGGGAAAAAAATGAATTTTCATGAAATTTATTGGTTTAAAAGACATCTATAATGCTGGCTCTATTTCATCGAATATCACTGTACAAGTATATTCTGTTCTCTGTCCTACTTTTGGATTATTCAAATTTGCTTTTATCCTGTAATTTTGTGATTGGAAGTTTTGTGCGATAAATATGAGGTTAACTCTTGATAAAATTGATTTTGTTTTCATTTTTTTAATAACCTTAATTTTTTATTCGACCTCCAATCAAGTAGGAATTATTTTACTTATTTATTTATTATTACTAATTTTGTTTTTTTAATTCAATACCTTGAAAATAACAACAAATAAACTTTTAGTAACAATCGTAAACAATTTCTATATTATTTTTTAATAGCTAGAACACATTTTAAACTAAAGTGAGTCTCCCATATAAATATTTCGGTTACTAAGACTGTGTCTTTATTAGCTGAATTTCGTCTATGTAGACTGTTTGACTGCAATTAGTTTCCAATTTGTATTTCACTCGAATTAAATTGTATTCTTACGCCATTAAGAAATCATCGATTGTGTTAGTGTGTTTGCGTGTGTGTGCGCTGTGCTTGCTTCCTGACTTGGTGCAACGGCTGTGTGGCGGTGGAAATCAATGCGGCGTGGCGGCAAACGAGTATCTGAAACGAAGCGACTACACACAGTTGCAAAAATAACAGCAAATAACAGCAAATTGTTGGAATTTTACGAACTCCATAGACACTCCATAACAACCCAACTAGCAGCTGACATAAGTGTTCATGTTTCTTTGGCTTACCTATGTGAGCGTGTCCATGAATGTGTGTCGGTTGCGCGGAAATTGTATCCGATTTGACAGTAAGCAGCTGATGTGCGCCGCGCCAGCAAATGAGCTAGACAACCAGACCCAATCACACAATGCACAACAACAACAACCGAAACAACATGTGGAGAAGTAGATGTGGAAATATTTATGGAAATTCATTGCTTGCGAGAAAAACGGATGAAAAAGGCAGAAAAATTAATAGAATAACAATGCTTCAAACTCAAATTATGCCACTAACTTTAGAAGCAACATGTTCCAGCTTGTAATGCGGGTAAGTGAATAATAGGCGCTTAGCGCTAATTGATTGCTAATAGCAAATGGAATGTAAACAGAATGAAGATGTAATATGGTTGAGTTGTGGCGTGTGATTCACATCGTTCCCATCTAAGTGTCAGCTCACAGTAGAGCTTAGTATAAGCTCTTGTTCCATTAGAAATTAATAATTAGTTAGTATGACTTGTACGCACAGATGATGTGGGAAAAGTCTGTTAAAATATTTCTATCATAGTTCGAACTGTAAGAGCAATTGTTAGTTTTCCTATTTCTATAATTTTCAGATTTTGCAAATACATTTCATAGAAAATATGTGCTTAAAACTATACTTAAATATCTTATAAGAAAAATATGAAAAGCACATCTGGAGTTCATATTAATAAAAAAATGCTTAATGGTACTATATTATTGCTATTAAGTAGCCTAAAGTGTTTGTTTAGCTAAGAAAAAAACAACTTTTCGATGTTTTGAAAATCTCAGGCTAGCGTAGCTACTTAATTACACTATATGTTATCTATGTAAATAACAACAAACAAAGGCGAAATACAATTTAAAAAATTTAACATATTATATTCCGCGTGATTTCATCATATCTACGAGTATATTGTATGTGGAACATGGCGTATGAGTAACTTTTTTTATTAATTAAATAAAAGCGGTAGTAATTCGAAAACTAGAATGCTGAAAATATTAAAATTTATAAGTATAAAAGAACTTTTAAAAACTTAATTGCCTAGTGTATTAAATTTTATTATTTCCTTCCCAAAACCATTTATTATAACGACCTCCCTACCAGTTTTTTGAAACATATAGACGTTTACTTCAAAAAGCCTCGGCCGTTACCGCGCATTATCACAAAATTTTTTGCCAACAAACATATCGTATCATTAGGACTTTATGAACGGGAAAGTTGCTGGAGTAAGAACCATAGGAAACGGTGGCCCCGAAAGCACTTCACCAATAATTCAACTATGATTCTTTAATTTACTGGTGCGGAAAACGTTGAATATGTAGATGTGTCTATTATTTAGCAAAATGGCTGGCATCCTTTTCCCATATTAGGAAAACATTTATATTGCTTTTAAAACTTGGGAATATTTCGATTTTACTTGCTTTCAGTAACAGTTTCTAAGCCGATACGCAACACGAGTTTATTCAAGAAAAAATTAAGAACATAGCTGTTTTAATTGGTCATTTTGTCTGTCAAAAGCCAAAAAAATTCGACATGATCAGCAAGAGACAAAATGACAACACTCTATTACACTACCGCCTAGAACTTGCAACAGTGCAAGATACGCAATAAACATGTATATGCATAAAATGCTTTGCTTTTTGGCAACTGGTTTTGCTTCTGTTTGTGTTGGCCGCTTTGGAAACGCTGTGGAAAAAGCAAATGTGAAAATCAAGCAGTAAATTTTTACTACTGATAAGCAGGCTCCACTCACTGGCCTTGGAACCTATTAGATTAAAGTACGGTTGGGATCTTACCACAGGGGAGGAAATATATATGGGAGGAATGGGAAATGCGTGGCCGTAAAGAAAACAAGTTTCTAAAAAAAATATTCCTGTTTTTGAAGCGCTGCTACCTTACACTTACATGAAGTGAGCAGTGAATATATAAGAATCAGAATAACAAGGCATTTCTCCTACACGCACACTCTTCGACAGCGAACAGGCACGCTCAGGCCCGAAATACATTGCGCCTAAAAGCAGACATCATATCCAAGAAGTAGCAATAAAGCAATTGGGCTTTTGGCTGGATTGTTTGGCAAGACTACATTTCAATTGGCTCCCTCAATAACCCATTAGTCTAGCGAGTCCTACGAGCGACTGCAGCTACAAGCCGTCTAATTCAACTGCTTGCCACACGAAGACTTTGCGAGTCGTATGCAGACAGCCGAAAATCTATTCTGCTAAGGTATTTACGTTAAGCGTAATTTTTTGTTCGTCTTTTTTCCTCGAATGTTGCGTGTAAATATTTAGCAACAAATCGCTAACCGCGCTCTGTACACCACCGAACTATTTTCGAGGACCACATGCAACTCAATGGTGGGTGCAAATGCCTCGCAGCGCACAATCGCAGCCACATGGTGCGTGCCACTTACGTTGCCTGGCAGCGTTGACTGCGTATTACACCCTTCAAATGGCTGTGGCATGCAGCAAATATAAACCAACGGCGGTGACGCCATGCCACATACAAATCCAAAATGTATGTGGGCACACTTAACAGCTGTGCAGCAACTGCGGAGTTTGGGGCACAAGCTACTAGGACTACCACTGGGCATTAGTTCGGGTACAGTTAGAGTTGCGTGTGTTTGCTTTAATATTATCATCAATGGCATTGAGCATAATGACGTTATACAAGGGTGCCGATAGAGCAATGGGGTGTTAAAAGTTGCATTCATTCCTTTCGATAAGCATGTCCGCTTTTTCACTTCAATTTACTACATTTACTTGTATATATGCAAGTGTGCGTGTGACAGGAGAATACGCAGCAAGTAAAAAAAACGAAAAATGAAGGATCTACAGAGAATGCTAAAATCGCCGAAGTGGCAATAAGCAAGCATTCAAATATTACTCGATGTGTGAAAGCGAAGAAGTCGCAGATGGATAAGAGACAGCAAAACAAACAACAACAAATTCAAAAAAAAAAATGCTGATGCAGCTGGTGTTGCTAAAGAAAGGCACCTAAATCCACTGGATCTGCCATCAATTTAACGACAATGACTATGCTGAGAAGGAGTAAATTAATGAAAATCCTGAATCCTTTCCTATCTGTTCGTGAATCTTGATGTTTTGGTTTGCTATTGCAAATTGTACTCCTTCATTCATTGTGGCAGCAATTCACACTCTGCTGCTTTAGAGTAGCTCAGTGTTTAGATGGAAAGATTAATATATTAGTTTTTTGTTTATAATTTATGAAGGAATATTGCTATTTACTATTAGTACAGAAATTTGTTTATACTGAAAAATATTTACCCGTAAGAAGTAAACTATTCAAAAATCTTTTGTCGTAGCAGTAAACTACATTTAATGAAAAGGTGGAAATTGTAATATTTGAGATTAGATTTTCAAACTTAAGTGTTCAGTCAGTCCACAGCCCTCAAGAAACTATGACAATTTTCTCTGGTGCTAAGAAAAATGAGTACAACTTCTCTCGCCACGCTATGTGTATAAAAAAGTTATATTAATATTTTGGACTAATTGGAGGATATGGCTAATCTCAGTTTTTTCAAATATAATGTAATTTTTTATCAAAAAGCTAGCAATATTAACAATAAAATCATAAAATATTTAATATATTATGTTATTCTAAGCTAGAAGCTAGGTTTAAAACTTCGTGGTCTCGGAGTACCATTAGACACGAAACGATTTTTTCACCATTTTATCAATTCAAGAACTTGTTAGACCCTAACAACGTTTTTTTTTAAATCATAAACCAGCTCAACTCCTTAAAAAATGTAACCAGAAGGCTTCATTTTTCCTCCATTTTTATTTAGTTTCTATGTTATAAAACACCTTCAACCATCTCATTCATGCATAACCGGTATTTAGAAATATCAAGGAGAACGCAATAACCTATAAATAGTAGACTCTTGATGCCATTCACAGCGACTACTAACACCGCCAACCATTTAATAATAAAATGTATTTGGATCCAATATATAATTTACGATATGTTTTATCGTTTTGTCAGATCGCCCATGACATATATTAATTTGTCTTTAATGATATATAATATGATATAAACAAAGTTACTGCTTTTGTTCTATTTTTCGAGTGATCAGCTTTTCATACAAATTTGCTAAAATTAGATGTTTCTTTCCTTCAACAGATATTACATTCAGTTTCCTAAAAACAATAAGGGAATACACTTATATAATTGTTTTGCTTGCTATTGTTTATTTGTATGTTTATGAAATCTCAGTCAGTATAGTAATTATCGGCCTTCGACTAATTCGAACTAACTGGTCGCAATCAAACAAGTTCGTATGTAATTTTTCTCGAGCGGTGAAGATGTCGACAAAGTATTTAACTACGAAACGATTCTTGAATTACCGTTATAAAGGCTCGAAGTCTCGGTCGTTTTTCTTCATAGCTGACATGTTGTTCTGAATAAAAAAGTAACATAATGACTCCAAGCAGATACTCTTTCTAACCCAGAAGCATCCAAATTTTATAAATGATTATAAGTTCGCTTGTTATATACTTATGTGATATTTTATACTATATTAGATTAAGCTAAACTGGCCTCACACTTCGTAACTTTAATTCAATTTAACTTTTATATATCGAGGTTTTATATTAAAACCACATCTTCATTTACCTACACCGATCTCCAATGTTGTTCTCTCGTTGCATAATCATTGTCGCTTTATTTATATTTCTCTCTGATTTTTTCGCACAGACACTTTACACTTAATGTCCATAGCTTGGTTTGAGGTTCTGTTTTTATTTGAACTCTGTTCTGTGATCAATAAACGGGCATAAAGATTTATACCAGTTGCCTGATCGATTCGCTACCCTTCAAATCGAAGAGAAATAAATATATGTATACATTTTTGTTGTCCTGCTATCCCTGACTTTTCACGCCCATTTACCAAAAGCCTACCACTGTCGGTGCTGTTGGTGCTGTTTCTATTTTTGTTGTCGTTGGCGTTTTTAATGAATCCCTGTAGCGAAAGCATTTCACAATTTTCAAGTACTCCAGCTCGATTGCTATAGAGAGCGGTAAGTGAAAAGAAAGAATGACTCAAAAAGTGTTGGAAAGTAAGTGCCGAAGCGTTTGCTCCCAAAGCGGCTTTAATGTACCACCAAGCGACAAACGGATGATTTTTGAAATTTTTCCAACTTTCGCTTTCACTCTTACTTTTAATTTCATTTCAGCTGGGCTTTCCCGCATTGACTAACTTTTGGAGTTCTCTATCCAAATGGCTTTTTACGCCACAATTGTGTGTCAAAGCAGGGAATATTTCTTGATGAAAAATGCTGGGAAAT